ATGCAGAACAGGTTCGACAGAAGATTTCCGACGTCGAAACATTTCCTCCAGAAAACTACGGTGGGTTTTTTTATGGTGTAGAAGATCATGGAACTGCTCAAGTAACTGTCGTGGATGCCGAGGGAAATGCCGTGTCTGCCTCCAGCACTATCAATACACAGTAAGCTTTCTCTGTATAAACAATAGGTTTGAAATCAGTTTTTATTATATACATATTAATATAAGTACAACCGTTCATCAAGATATCTCTTACCATTATGTTTCTTCAGTTTGGTTGTTAAGCAGGAAACTTCGTCGGTTCTCTCCAGCACTATGAATACTCAGTAAGCTTTCTCTGTATAAACAATAGGTTTGAAATCAGTTTTTATTATATACATATTAATATAAGTACAACCGTTCATCAAGATATCTCTTACCATTATGTTTCTTCAGTTTGGTTGTTAAGCAGGAAACTTCGTCGGTTCTCTCCAGCACTATGAATACTCAGTAAGCTTTCTCTGTATAAACAATAGGTTTGAAATCAGTTTTTTATTATATACATATTAATATAAGTACAACCGTTCATCAAGATATCTCTTACCATTACGTTTCTTCAGTTCGGTTGTTAAGCAGGAAACTTCGTCGGTTCTCTCCAGCACTATCAATACTCAGTAAGCTTTCTCTGTATAAACAATAGGTTTCAAATCAGTTTTTTTTATTACATACATATTAATATAAGTACAACCGTTCATCAAGATATCTCTTACCATTACGTTTCTTCAGTTCGGTTGTTAAGCAGTAAACTTCGTCAGTTCTCTCCAGCACTTGATACTTCTACTACTCGTGTTACTATTCGGTAATTGTATATTGTAGTTATTTGTGTGTTGAAGTTAGTCAGTTTTTCCACTAACATTCCAAGGTAAAGGCTTTAACGTAGAGAGCTAAGAATAATTATGTAAGTACTGAGACAAAACCAATAGATTAAAGTGTGCAAAAAATGAATGTGACCCAAGATACATAAAAAATTGTAATTACCTGTTTACATTTAGATTTACAAGTTTTTTTGATGAATGTGTCAGAAATACTTGTAAAGGAACTTCAAGGAAGCATTTAGTAATTGTCAAGTGGACAATTTTAATTATAAATTGTAAAAAAAGAAAGAATCTGTAATAACATGGACATTTTCTCGACAGAAAACAGGGTTGGTTTTACAGTGTTACTGTGAATCTGAACTGAAAATATTCTAAACCATTATTTGATGAAAGTCCGTGTTTACGTCTGCCTATAACTGGTGAACTGCTGCACTGATTGTCACCAAATCTTATGCACCTTTAGCCCCACTCTTGTGACATGGGGTGGAAGTTCAGTGTTTGGATGTGGAGACGAATTACATCAGTAACTATGTTTGGGTTTTAATCAATGTCTTTTTTTCTATCAGTGTGTGTGTAAGGTTTGATCAGTAAACCATTAAATAGTAAACATGTAGAACTGACTCAGTGTGTGTAAGTTTGATCAGTAAACCATTAAATAGTAAACATGTAGAACTGACTCAGTGTGTGTGTAAGTTTGATCAGTAAACCATTAAATAGTAAACATGTAGAACTGACTCGGTGTGTGTGTGTGTAAGGTTGATCAGTAAACCATTAAATAGTAAACATGTAGAACTGACTCGGTGTGTGTGTGTGTAAGGTTGATCAGTAAACCATTAAATAGTAAACATGTAGAACTGATGAATATCCATTCATAAAATAAACTTTTTTTACAATATAAAACTTCTGAAAATATGTTATGTAAAGAATTTCTAATGCTACATACAAGATGTTAAAGGTTCTAAAGAACTTCTATTGCTACATACAAGATGTTAAAGGTTCTAAAGAACTTCTAATGCTACATACAAGATGTTAAAGGTTCTAAAGAACTTCTAATGCTACATACAAGATGTTAAAGGCTCTAGAGAACTTCCAATGCTATGTACAAGACGTTATAGGTTCTAAAGAACTTCTAATGCTACATACAAGATGTTAAAGGCTCTAGAGAACTTCTAATGCTACATACAAGACGTTATAGGTTCTAAAGAACTTCCAATGCTACATACAAGATGTTAAAGGTTCTAAAGAATTTCCAATGCTACGTACAAGATGTTAAAGGTTCTAAAGAACTTCCAATGCTACGTACAAGATGTTAAAGGTTCTAAAGAACTTCCAATGCTACATACAAGATGTTGCTATGTACAAAGTATTAATTTTTTTTAAAACTTCCAATTTTTGATCACTGGTTTTATTATTCCAAATCTTGAGCTTCATATTAATAAAATGAATGTTTTATTTCAACAGATTGTGTGTTACGTATTTATTAATAATGATTTTTTAGCTTCTATTATAGGATGACAGAATATTATTAATTGCTTCAGTCATTTTTTTTTTTAATATCTGTTTTAGATTTGGATGTAAAAGAAGATCTTCGTCAACAGGAATTATTCTAAATAATGAAATGGACGATTTCTCATCACCAAACGTGACCAATTTCTTTGGAATTCTTCCATCTCCAGCAAATTTTATCAAACCAGGAAAACGCCCCTTGTCATCTATGAGTCCGTCAGTTGTCTTAGATAAAGCTGGTCAACTTAAAACTGTTATTGGGGGCGCTGGTGGTTCTCGCATAATCACAGCAGTTTCTCAGGTTAGCTGTTTTCGTGGCTCGTTTACTTCGTATGTGTATTAAAATGATTAGCTAGAATGAAGCAGTTAGAAAAAACAAAGTGAAGCAAGTTGCTTGTAATGTTTCTTTTAGTGATGGAATGTCTCATTGACTCGTTAGCTCCCTGTTCATGACAGTTTGAAATACTGTTTGTTTTTGTATGGGTTTTAATATTAATAACGATGCAATCCCTTGTTATAACTTAGTTAGTTCTCTTACTCTGTCTGCCTTTTTTTTTTAGAACTTAAAATGTTTGAATTGATTGAAAAAGTTGTCATCACTGTTTCTAAATTGTAACTCACGAAATTCAAAGTTTTCTTTAAACAAAAATCAGCAGTTTTTGTTTTGTGTTTGTAAAAATGCTTCTTGTCGGGAAAAACGTGCGTTATATTGTATGTATTGAAATGTGATTTCTCAGTCAATTTAATATTAATTCTCACACATAGTATGTATTTAAATCGGCATGCACACACACATTTAACAGTTCTTTTTAAGTAGTACTAAACTAAATGTTTATAACGTTTCACAAATCTGTGATGAACCATACAAGGTATTTAGTAGGTGAAAAACTTACAAATGTAATATTTTGTTTACAACAGGTCTTGCTTAGATCAATGTGGCTGAACAACAGTATTAAAGAGGCTATTGATGCTTTGAGAATACACCACCAACTTTATCCCGATACTGTGTTCCACGAGAAACATTTCCCTCAAGTAAGTGTTTTATCTAAATTAAACCTTGCTTTTGTTTTTTTTCTCTACAAGTTAATTTTGTTTAATTTTTTATGTTTTGCTGTTTTTTAATTCTTTTATTTTCGATTTATCTTTTTCTCTGTGTACTAAACGTTTCTTCTCTTATGATACCTTTCAAATAGTTTTGTTTTCCAAAGCATTTAGAAATAGATTGCTCAGCATTTTAACAATATTCTTGTATAACCTCTGGGTCAAACTGGTAAAGGTTGTCTTTTAAGTGGTGGCATTACCTGAGAAGGGTATTGGTATAACCTCTGGGTCAAACTGGTAATGGTTGTCTTTTAAGTGGTGGCATTACCTGAGAAGGGTATTGGTAGTGTTATGAACGGAAGTAAGCATTATAGAAGAAC